TGAAAGATGTGCCACATGTCTGACATTCGGTGGCACCCCTCACGCAGATCGGCGAGGTCAGGGTGCCAAAACACAGAGGATGCGCCTCATGTCTGACATTCGCTTGCACCCCTCACGCAGATCGGCGGGGTCAGGGTGCAAAAACACAAAAGACGAGCCACATTTCTGAAATGCTGTCGCACCCTGACGCAGATCTTCGGGGTCATGGTCCAAAAACACAGGGGATGTGCCACATTTCTGAAATCTGCTGGCACCCCTCTCGCGGATCGGCAGGGTCAGGGTCAGAAAACGCAGGGGATTTGCAACATTTCTCACAAATTCGGCGGCACCCCATCACGCAGATCGGCAGGGTCAGGGTCCAAAAACACTAGGATTTGCCACATGTCTGAAATTCGATGGCACCCCATCACACAGATCGGCAGGGTCAGGGTCCGAAAACGCAGGGGATCTGCCACATTTCTGAAATTCGGTGGCACCCGTGACGCAGATCCGTAGGGTCAGGGTCGAAAAAAACAAACAGGTCACGACACTGTTTCACGGCGGCGCCGAAATCTCATAATTTAGCTGTTGCATCTCCCATTATCCGAGACAGGGGGGCAGCGGCGTGGGGAGAAGCCCTTACGGATTGCAAGGAAGTCCCAAGCGAGCGCGCACTTCCTGAATAAAATGCAAGGAAATCTCGGGCGGGAGCGGGGGTCCTGGCTAAATTGTGCGGAAACCTCAAGCGGAAGCCGTTGTTGTTGTAACCCAGGGGCCAGGGGCCCAGTTTGAGCCTCAAGACCTTCCCTGATAAGAAAACAAGGTGCGAGCGTCGAAGGGCACACTTTGATTGAGAAAGAACAGTCTGCACCACTGGGGGGATCAACAGTGATTATTCTTCAGAAGTGAGAGCTCAACCACAACAACAACAACAACAACAGCAACAGCAACAGCAACAGCAACAACAACAACAACAACATGTGCGCGGCGACCTAGCGGGATTGTCGCTGATATTCGATTATCGAACGCCCTTTCGCCCTCGGGTGTCCCTTCCTGCACGGCTGAACCCTCAGCCGTCAAACGCAACACACCAGACTTCAAATGAGCCGTTTGGGCACCGTTGGCCTTGGCGTTATGGCATGAGTGGATGCGACATTCATCCAATCGCGCTCCAGACCCGACCCACAACTTCCCTGACTACAGCGAAGTCAATGGCACCCGCGCGGCGCGACGTAGAACTTGACGTGAGCTTCGAAAGTAAATCGTGGATGCCCTTGGCACTTTTTCTCGCGAACCCCCTCCCCAATTACGCTGAGAATCCATATCTGCAGCCATTCGGCTCCCTCCAAGGTGCTGGACCAACAATGGATTTTTCCCGCGATTGTCGACTTCACGTGTCTGCGAATTTTCCTTAACGCTACACAACTGAGGCGACCCTAGACCTGGGCCCACGAGCGACGGCGCTTTCAATGATCTTAACTTGCCCAATTCCGTGTGGGCGCCGTGCACAATCGCGGCCCTCGGATCGGACCCACCATCGCGGCCCTCGGATCGGATCGGACCCACCCACGGGCCAACGCCAAACCATTTAGCAAAATTTCAACGCGAATATAATGAAGAGGCCGGTGGCCGGAGGTGGTATACCATATTATGGCCTCCACTTGTTCCTCCTCCTCATCATCATCATCATCATCATCATCATCATCATCATCATCACCATCATCATCATCATCATCATCATCATCATAATCATCATCATCATCATCATCATCATCATCGTCATCATCATCATCATCATCATCACCATCATCATCATCATCATCATCATCATCATCATCATCATCATCCGTTTCGTCCTCCTCCTCCTCCTCCTCCTCCTCCTCGCCCTCCTCCTTTTTCCGCGCCGCTCCCTTGGAGGCTGCCAACTGCGCAGCTGTCGCCACCTTCGTGGGGCCCTGGGAGGTCCAGCGGGTTCCCTGGGAAACTGGCATCTGCACAAGTGTCGCCACATTCGTGGGCTCGTGGGAGGTCAAGCGGAGGCGGTCGGCTGTCTAGACCCCGCTGCTCGCTGGGGGGCTGCCATCTGACCGAGTGTCGCCACTTTCGTGGGTTCGTGGGAGGTCCAGCGGAGACGGTCGGCAAGCGACACTTCGCGGCCCCTGGCAGACTGCCAGTTGCGCGACTGTCGCCACCTTCGTGGGACCCTGGGAGGTCAAGCGGGGGGGTCGGCAGGCCAGACCTCGCTTCTCCGTGGGAGGCGACCATCTGCACAACTGTCACCACTTTCGTGGTCTCCTGGGAGGTCTAGCAGTCAAAAGTAGATTCGTAACGTGTTCTTTTGTATGGGACGTTCATGTAAAATTGTTCGCCTTGCGGTGGGACATGGAGTTGGGTAAATGTCGGGTAATCTTGCGATGGCGGCCCCGCGCGCAGCAACCAGGCTGAGCAAGGACACACACACACACACACACAAACGAAGAAGATCCGCCCACTGCGCGGGGCTGGCCTGTCTGCGGCGCTGCGAAGCGAAATGCCTCACACGCCTGGCCCCGGTGGCCATCCAGCCTGGGGGCGGGTGCCGGAGCCGCGGATCAGCCCAGGTGGAAAGAAGGAACCAGAACCTCCACAGACTCGAACCTATTGACTTCGAGGTTCGTCCTGTTTCGGACGCTGGGGCCATAAAAAACGATTCACGATGCCCCATGGAAAGAGTCGAGAGGTTCAGGACTCTGAGGCTCGGAAATTTCGAGTCGTCGGAGGAATGGGAGGCGAGATCAGTCAGCACCGAATAGCGAAAACGGGTCGGATTGGAACGAGCAGCGGATCGGGCTGCATCGGTTTGGAGCCGAGACCTAATCGAATCGCCTGCGCTGGGATACGCAACTACGCTGTGCGGACATCGGGCCGCATCGGATCACAGAGAAGCCGAGACTGGATTGGATCGAGCTGGGTGCACTAGACATCAAAAAATCAGATCTATCGAATTGAAGTGGGCCCAGGAGAGCAGACGTACTCCTCGGGAGCAGAGATGACCCTCACAGGGAGCAGGGATGATGACGCCCCTGGAGGCATCTGGAAGAAGTGCGCTCCCCGGGAGCAAGGAGGACGAAGCAATCGGTGGCAGGGAGGGAGGGCGGAGGGAGGAGGGGCGAGGAAGAAAGGGAGGGAGGGAGCGGGACAAACGAAGCAGGGCGGGGGGAGAGGGAGGGAGGGAGGGACGGAGGGAGGGAGGGAGCACAGGGAGCAAAGGGAACGCGCAACGAAGGGGGTGAGCGGCTCAGACCCCCTGACCGCACCCCCGTCTCCTCCGCCTGTCGGTTCTCTGCCTGCTCTCTCTTCCCCTCCTCCTTCGTCCCCCTCCGCGAGCCAGGCGTGCGTGGTGGAGCACGACCCCACGGCCGTCGGGGCCCTCCCAAGCGGAGAGGGCGGGGAGCAGCGAGGGGAAAGGAGGAGGAGAAGGAGGAGGATCCCCCACTTACACTCGCCGTGGTCAACATTGTTATCCTCCTCGTCGTCGTCGCGCTTGTCATTGTCGCCCTCGTCGTCGTCGCCCTCATCGTCGTCGCCGCTGCCGTCATCGCCGTCAAGACATGGAGGCCCCCTCAGGGCTCGCCGGTGCTCTTTTTCTCTGGCTGGCGGGATCGCCGTACGGAGGCAGGACGCCTGGGACCAGGCACGGTAGTCTCTGTTGCCGGGCTCTGCTGAGACCGAACCTGCGCTACGGGCACAGAAAACCCGCCACCGCGCCTTCGCGACAATGGCATTTTAGAAGGCCTGTCAGTTGTCAGGGGCTCCGAACTCCGTACTAAGCGCCTGGGGGGCGACGGCCCCGACGGCAACCCCGAGTCGACCCGCGCCGCGCACAGCCAATGCGCGCCGAAGACACCACACCCTCCGGCGCGGTGCGCTGGCGATGCAAGAGTGATCCCTCGCCGGGGAAGGAGGAGGCCCCAAAGTAGAGCTTCTGCAGTTTTCCAGGGCCGACCCCCTCCCCTCGAAGCAACCCCTGATGGATGTGCTTCCCCATCGCCCTTTTCGGCATCTAAACGGCTCCACGACTACCACAGGCCGCCCTGAAACGGCTGCAAGATGCCCAGTCCAGCCCAAGACGGTCCAGCAACCTCCCCAAAGGATCCAAGAGCACCAAAAAGGCCCTGAAGCCCCCAAAAGTGCCCCGAAGAAACCTCCAGACAAACCCTGAAGGTGAATAACACGGAAAAGCCATTGGAATTCTAATGCTGTTTGTCTCCAAGGCTTTCCAGCTCCAGATCGGCCTGGGAAAGCTTCAGAGAGCTCCAAAAAGCACTCTCAAGGACCCCAAGGCGGTGGCAAGACGGCTCAGGAGGGCTCCAAGACGACCCCGCGATATGTGGTTAAACCAAGCCTCTGAGCATATCTAAACCACATCGAGGGAGCTCGGTAGTGCAATCGGACCCAAAACGGATCCGAGACCCCCCCGACTGACCCCTAATTAGAGGGCCCCCTAGATCGGTGACAGGGCTTGCCGCAGGCAGTTGGATGATAAAAGGCTGAAGAGCAGGAGACAAGCAAATGTAAACCACCACCAGCCTCGGTCAGGCGCACCTCGGATCCTTGGGTAGTGTATCATATTTCCGCTGGCCTGTCGATGATCCTCAAAACGTGAGCTGGCTTACACATGCGCTTGTCCAACGAAGCCCTTCAATACGATGCAGATGGTGCAATGAGGGCCGACACAAGGTGCGCGCTGTCCATGGAACTGAACGGAGTAAGCACACATCGGGCCAGCACACGTCCTGACGATCATCGAGCCTGGGCCAACAGGGTTCATACACCACTGTGGAGCCCTGGAATAACTTAGGCAAACTTGGCGGTGGTGTACTGTTGCTGGCTTCCTGGAGAAAAAGCGCAGATTCATCGGATTATGTGGGCCCTCTGTGTGGTATTCGTTGCAACGGCATGCCCTGTTCCCTCTAGCCGTCTAAGTCCATGGCAAATCCTGCGTGTGAGCGATCGACCGTCGAGACTGACAAGCGGTGCACTCAGCCATAAAGGTCATCGTCATCGTCCGCAGCCGCTGCGGCGTTGCCTCCGCCAATGCCGGGACCATCCGGCCAATTGATCACCTGCGATGGCGACGACGACGATGGCGATGACATCGATGAGGGCAAGGGTTGGGAAAAGGAAGCGGTGGCGCGGAGAAGCCAATACCACGACCCCCACGGGCATGGAGTTCAGGCCGGCTGGACCAGCTAGCAAGCCAGCCACTGTGATGACGATGATGACGATGATGCTGCTGATGATGATGACGATGACGATGGTAACGATGATGAAGATAATGATGATAATGGTGATGATGATGATGATGGTGATGATGATGATGACGGCGACGTTGATGATGATGATGATGATGATGATGATGATGATGATGATAACAACGATGATGCGGTTGATGATGGTGTTAATGATGACGGCGACGATGGTGATGATGGTGATGATAATGATGATGAGGATGGTGATAATGACGACGATGATGATATTGATGATGTGGTGATGATGGTGATGACAATGGTGACGATGCTGATGATGATGATGCTGATTGCGATATTGATAGTGGTGCTGAGACTGATGTTGATGCTGATGCTGATGATGATGGTGATGTGATGAAGATGACGATGACGATGATGGCGTTGATGAAGATGTTGATGATGGCGGTGATGATGATGATGAGTATGATGATGAGTATGATGATGATGATGATGATGATGATGATGATGATGATGATGAATGATGAGTATGGTGAATATGATGATGATGGTTATGATGATGACGACGACGATGACGATGATGATGATGATGATGCGCATGATGGTGATGATCATGATGATGCGTGCGACGACGATTACGATGAGAAGAATGATGATGTCAATGGTGATGATGGTGATAACGATGGTGATGACCATGCTGAAGACGATCATTGTGGCGACCCGCAGCTCATCGAAACGTTCAAGGCATGTGCTCCACGGCCGTCCTGACGGGCGGTTCGCGCAGCGTCGCGCCCGCCCGAGCTGCTAGTGCGGCGCCATGGGCTGACTCTTCGGGCCCCTCGCCACGCCCGAGCGCACGATCTGCGTCGGGGGCGACCGCGGGCACTTCGCTGCACGGCCAGGGCGCACCCAGCCCAAACTGGCCGTGCCCACGCTCCTGCACCTGCGGGCTCCCTGTGCGAGGGATGGCGCTCCCCCCGTTCCCTGCGCTCGAAGGGGGCAGGGCTCAGCTACGCAGGGGTGTTCCACGGACCCGTTCGCGCCCTGAGTGTCGGGGACTGCCCGGAGAGAATCGCCGATTTGGGACCCATGGACGGTGATGCTCCAAGGGCTCGTTCTCGCCCAGATTGTAGGAAACTCTCCCGCGGAACGCCCGTCTTGGCCCATGACAAAAATCTTGCCTCTGAGTTCCATGACCACCGCGACGTAGCAGGCATGACAGGGAGGGTGGGAAAAGGCGGGGCCCGCCGATTCGCTCGACATGAGCCAGTTTGGCCCTGATGACACTACAGCGCCAGGCCCACAGTCCTGGCCCGAGCCGCCAAAAGAAAGCGTCTCGACGCCCCCGCGCACTCCCCGAGGAGGCGCCGCGCCCCGACTGGCCTGCCCCAGCATAGCAGTTTGTGCTGCATCGGCGGCCTGCCGGGGCGAGCGGGCTTGTGTTGCCACCGCCACCGCGTTCGCCGCCACGGCTCGAAGGAGGCAGAACCACCCTCATGACCAGCACTTCTACAAGCGATGCCCTGTAGCAGAAGCACCGAAAGAAGGAATCCAGCGGGGCAGGGCTGGGCAGTTTTAGTGAATGCCCAGGACTGCGTCCTCAAACGCTAGTTACGAGGATCTGGGCGGGTTCCCCACCCTGGAAGAGAGGCCACGGCCGTCTGCGGTTGCAGGCGACCCTTTCTGCTGGGAGAGTCCCGTCGTCGCAGTCGGGGGCCTCGCCCCCCAGCCCCGCCGTCCACGAAACGTGGCAGCACCGCGGCGGCGGCCGCCCCACGCAGCCAGGACGACGGCTGCGGCGGCGTTGCCCGGGATGAGGCTGCCCGCGAACGCGGCGGCCAAAGCGCAACGAAGGGGAATACATCCGTCCACGCGCTGCCAGCACTGACGCGGCCGTGATAAACGCGGGCACCCGACCGCCAGGAAGGAGGCCGACGCGGCACGAGCGGTGCCGCTACGGTCGGGGGGCCTGCATCCCGTTCTGTCTGTGCAGGCAGCTGCCATACAGGCGGCCGCAGTAGCTCCAAGCGCAGGCCTGCTGCCAGTCTTGCAGTGGCCGTTCCCACACGGCTAGCGGGGAGAGAGGGGGCATCAATGGAGGAGAGGGGAGAAATCGCCTCGCGTGTATACGATCCACAGTGCATACGCATTCGATGCGAAAGGGCATCGTTTTGACGCTGCCGTGTAGGGCAGCTCAAGCTCCCTTCGCACATGTGAATGTGCGTTGCCTTCGTATGCTCTGCATTGCTGCTGCCCCGCTGTCGTTTTCACGTGGCGAATGGTTTTGGCTCGTCCATGTGGTTAATCGCGGGCAACCCCGGCGCCGCGATTAACCACGTGGAGCTAGACGAGTGCGGGGGTATAAGATCAGCAGCCCAGCTGTCCAGCCGTACCGCGGCGCCTGCACACCAGCCCCTGGGCCTTGCAAGGCCGCACCTTGCGTCGGCGGCACCCTGCAAGTGAGCAAAGCACCGACGGGCTGGCCCTGGCGGGTCCCTCCATCCACCAGCAGGGCCTCGTTGCCAACCTGCACGACCGACCCACCTCGAGACGCGCCCAGCGGGCCTGTCAGCCTGGTAGCGCATCTCCATGTGGTCCGCGCCGCTGGGGCGCTGCGCCGCGGCGCCGTGATGATGTTGATGATGATGGTGCTGATGATGATGATGATGATGATGACGACGACGACGACACGAGGAGGAGGAGGAGGAGGAGGAGGAGGAGGAGGGGGAGGATGTGAATAAGGACGAGGATAAGGAGGAGGGGGACGATGATACACATGCGGATGGTGATGATGGAAAATATGTTGATGGTGGTGATGATGATTGTGATGATGGTGATGCTTCATGATGGGGATGATGATGCTGATGGTGGTGGCAGTGATGATGCTGCTAATGAGAGCGATGGTGGTGATGAGTACGATGATGATGATGATGATGATGGTGATGATGATGATGATGAGTATGATGGTAGGGATGATGAAGATGGTGGTGGTGGTGATGATGGTGTTGGTGGTGCTGGTGATGATGATGGTGATGGTGATGGCGATAGTGATGATGCTGATAATGATGAGGATCGTGGTGGTGGTGATGGTAAGACTGCTGCTGATGATGATGATGCTGGTGATGATGGCGAAGCCGACGGTGATGATGATGATGCTGATGTTGGTGCTGATGCTGGTGATGATGATGATGATGCTGATGATGATGGTGCTGATGGTGGTGATGATGGTGGTGATGCTGCTTCTGCGGATGATGCTGTTGATGCTGATGCCGATGATAGTACGTAGTGTTGATGGTGAAGGTGACGATGAAAATGAGAATGGTGATGATATGAAGATGAAGATGATGGTGATGGTGATGCGGATAATGGTGATGATGATGATGATGATGATGGTGATGGTGATGATGATGCTGATGATGATGATGATGATCATGATGCTGATTTTATTGATTATGATGGTGATGGTGATGGCGATCACGATGGTGATGGTGATGGTGATGGTGATGGTGATGATGGTTCTGGAGGTGGTGGTGGTGGTGATGGTGATGGTGATGATGATGGTGATGGGATGGCCATGGTGATGGTGATGGTGACGTTTGTAGTGAAAGTCACGGATCAACTAGGAGAGGCGATCCATGATATTAGAACGGCAACAGCAGCGGCAGCTCGCAACATCGTGCTGGTGTGACGACGCCGATAACAACGATAATGACGATGAAGATGGCGACGACGACCCAACTCAAAATCGACCCCCTGACCTGTCCTGGTGCGCGTCCTAGCACCAAGATTTCGAGGCGAATCCAGCCGTGGCGACAAGGGCCCCCCAGAGACCCTGAGAGGACGAAACAAATCACAAATCTCGACTCTCGATCCTCGATGCCAGACCAAAAATAAGATGTTTCAAAACAAGGGCCACGGGACCTTTGAAGGAGCGCGCCCGTCGCACACTCCTTACTTACAACGGGGGTCCCAGCTTCAAGCTACCCCCCCCCTCCCTTGGAAAAGAGGGGGGGGCTTCCAAAGCTAACCCCCCTCCCTCCTTTTCGTGGGCATTTCTTAGCTGGGGGGGCCCTAGCTAAAGTGGCCGAGGGGCTTGGAAGCTCCCTCCCGCCCCCCCTCCCCTTGTCGGGGCCTGGGGCAGCACGGGCTCTCATTTCAAAGGGGGGGAGGGGCTTCCGAAGCTACCCCCCCTCCTTTGTTTGGATGTTGTAGCTAGGGGGTCCCTGGCTACAGGAGGGGAAGTGGCTTGGAAGCTACCCACCCCTCCCCTCCTCTTCAGCGCCCGAGGCAAGACCGGGCTGCCTTTTCCAAATTGAGGCGGGGCTTCCGAAGCTACCCCCACCCTACCATCCTTCTGCTAGCTTTTCCAGCTGGAGGGCCCTGGCATTAAGGGGGAGCTTCGAAGCTACTTCCCTTCTTTGGTGTTCGGCGCCCCATTGGTTTTCTGCGTACTTGTGGTTTTCGGCGTTTCTTCGGTTTTCAGCGTCTCTTTGGTCTTCGGCGCCTCTTCGGCGCCACTTTGGTTTTCGGCGCTCCTCTGGTTTCCTGCGCCCTTCTGAGAATCGGCGCCCCTGTGGTTTTCCAGCCCCCTTTCGGTTTTCGGCGCATCCTTGGTTTTCGGCACCCCGTCGGTTTCGGAGCTCCTGTTGGTTTTCGGCGCCCCTTTGGCCTTTGGCCTTTGGCGCCCCTTTGGTGTTCGGCGCTCCTTTGGATTTAGGCACTATTTTGGTGCTCGGCGCCCTTTAGGTTTTCGGCGCCCCTTTGGTATTCGGCGCCCCGTTGGTTTTTGGCGCCCTTCGGCTTTCGGCGCGCCTTTTGTTGTCTGCGCCCCTTGGCTTTTCGACGCCAGTTTGGTTATCGGCGCCACTTTGTTTTTCGGCGCCTCTTGGTTTTCGGCGCCCCTTGTAGTTTTCGGCGCCCTTGCGGTTTTCGGCGCCCCTGTGGATTTCGGCGCCCTGTTTGTTTTCAGCGCCCTGTCTGACTTTGGAGCTTCTGTTGTTTCGGCGATCCTTTGGCTTTTCGACGCCCGTTTGGTTTTCGGCGCTCATTTGGTAATCGATGCCCTTGTGGTTTTCGGCGCATCGTTGGTTTTCGACGCCCAGTGGGTCTTCGGCGCTCCTTCTGGTTTTCCGCGCCCCTCGGGTGCTGGGCGCCCCAATGGTTTTAGGCACCCTCTTGGTTGGTTGTCGGCGCCCCTTTGGCTTCCGGCGCATCTTTCTTGTGTTCGACGCTTCTTTGGTTTTCGTCCCCCTTGTGGTTTTCTGCGCATCGTTGGTTTTCCGCGCCCCTTTGGTTCTCGGCGCCTTTTCGGTTTTCAGCGCTCCTTTGGTTCTCGATGCCCTTGTGGTTTTCGGCGTCCATTTTGGTTTTCGGCGCTCATGTGGTTTTTGGCGCTCTTTGGTCTTCGGCGCCCTTTTGGTTTTCGGCGCTGCTCTGGTTTTCGGCTCCCCACTGGTTTTTGACGCCCCGATGGTTTTCGGAGCCTTTTTTGGTGCTCGGCGCTTCTTCGGATTGCGGCGCCCTTTTGGTTTTCGAATTACTTGATTTTCGGTACCTTTTGGTTTTCGGCGCCCCTTTGCGTTTTGGCGCTCTTTTGGTTTTCGGCATTTCTTTGGTTTTCGGTTCTCTTTTGGTTGTCGGTGCCCCTTTGGTTTTCGGCGATCCTTCGGCTTTCGGCGATCCTTTGATTTTTGGCGTTCCTTTGGTTTTCAGCGCCCTGTTGGTTTTCGGCGCACCTTCGGTTCTCGAAGCCCTTTCTGTTTTCGGCGTTCCTTCGGTTTTCGGCGCGCCTCTGGTTTTCGGCCCTTTGGTTTTCGGAGCTCCGTTGGTTTTCGGCGCCTTTTTGGTCTTCGAAGGCCCTCCCCACCCCCCCTTCGCTTAATGGAGGGGGGAGTCCGGCAAGGGATTCAAAGGGAGGTGGTAGCTAAGCCCCCCCCCCCTTTGGAAAAGAGGGGGTAGTTTCCGGACCGCGATGGGGGGAGAGGGGGGGGGGAGGGAACTTCCCAGGGGCGGAAAAAATGGGAGGGGGGGGTCTGGCAGAGGCGGGTAACTTCTGAGGGAAGGGGGTGGTCCAGCAGAGGCGGGTTCAAAGGGAGGGGGGTAGCTAAGCCCCCCACCTTTAAAAAAGGGGGGAGGGGTGGTAGTTTCAGGAGCGCGAAAGGAGGGGTAACGGGGGCGGTAGTTTCCGAGAGGCGGAAGAAAAAAAAACGGGGGGGGAAGGAGGGGGGGGGCTTCGGGCAGGGGAGGTCCAAAGGTAAGAGGTACCTAAGGGGGGACACCCCCCCTTGGGAGTGTGCGACGGGCGAGCTTTATCCGACCTTTCGACGCCTTTCACCCGGGGCTGATGACTCGTCCCCAATAGTTTTCAGGACCAAGGTCCCCAAAAGCGCCCCCGGAAAGTTGACAATGTTCAACAGCTTCGCTATCGATTATCCGAAGGCGTTGGAGGTCTGAATCACCATTCCGCTGCCGCCGCCAGACTGGGTCATGTAGACGGGGTCGAATTTCTTGCGGAACTGGTCGAACTTCGCCAGGTCCGTGGCGGCCACAGAGCGGCGGGCACCCGCGAAGGCCTCCTCGAAGTGTTTCCTGCCGTCGTCTTCGTCTTCGCCCTCGTCGTCGTTCGTCGTTCGTCGTTCGACGTCGCGTCGTCGAGGTTCGAGAATCGAAGATCCAAGTTTTTGGACACGCACGTTCGGTTCCTGTCTGGACTTCGGGGGTACATGGGGCAGTATTTGTTTGTTCCCCTCGTGTCTGTTTTTTTCCCCCCCTCGGGGGGGGGGGGGGGCTGTCTGTATTTTTTCCCTCGGGATGGAATATGTTTTGTTTTCCCTCGGAGTCGTTCTTTTGTTCCCCCGCGGGTCCTTTTGGTGTCCCTCGGGTCTTTTTTTTTCCCCCTCGGGGGGGGGGGCGGCACGGGCCTCGAGGTTGTTTTCCCCTCTCCGAGGGGGGTGTCGGGAAGGGCGAGCCTGGGCCTGGCGGGCGCTGCAGCTCGGTCCGGGCCCACTGGGGCTCCAATTTGCCGGCCCAACGGACGGACAAGAGGCGTGCGAAGATGATCTCTTGTAATAGGATTTTGACTATGTCTGATTCGCGCGCACGTGGCGGCCCCTGGGTTAAGCCTCAAATACGTAAAATGCAATGCGTTCGCTTCCGGCGCACTTCGTGTTGGCACAAAACGCATTTTACACCCCCCACCGCGCAAATGAAAACAAGCGTTTCGCTAGAGACACCCCGAACAAATCTTGCTGAAGGAACGTTTCGATAGGGACACGTGAAAACAAGTGTTTCGCCAGAGACATCCTCAACAACTCATCATGTTAGCGACCCGCCTGGGCGACCTAGACAAGTGAAAACAAGCGTTTCGCTAAAGATATCGTGAACAAATCCCCATGCTGGAGATCCGCCTGGGCGACCAGGACACGTGAAAACAAGCGTCTCCCTGGAGACATCCTCAACACATCTTCATGTTAGACATCCGCCTGGGAGACATGGACACGCGAAAACAAACGTTATACCCCCTGGGTGGCCTGGACACGTAAACGCGCGTGGTTCACCTCGGGACAACCATGTCAGATAGCCCCCTGTGTGGCCAGGACACGTGAAAACGCATGGTTTGAGCTCGGAGCCGCCATGTTAGATACCCTCCTGTGTGGGACGTAGTTCTAGCTAGGGAACGCCATCTTAGATACTGCCTGGGCGGCGTGGACACATGAAAACACGTGGCTCCAGATTGGGACCACCATGTTAGATACCCCCTTTGGGTGGCCAGGACACGTGAAAACACGTGGTTCCAGCTCGGGACCGCTATGCTAGATATCCTCTGTGTGCTCTGGACACGTGAGAAAATGTTCCAGGTAAGGGCAACAATGTTAGATACCCCTCTGGGCGGCCTGGACACGTAAAAACACGTGGCTCCAGCTCGGGAATTCCATTTTTGATACCCCCGTGAATGCCTGACACGTGAAAACAAAACACGTGAGAACAAGCGTCTGCCTAGATACATCTTCAACACATCCTCATGTTAGACATCCACCTGGGAGACATGGACACGCGAAACAAACGTTATACTCCCTGGGTGGCCTGGACACGTCAAACGCACGTGGTTCAGCTCGGGACAACCGTGCCAGATATCCCCCTGAGTGGCCTGGACACGTGAAAACGCATGGTTTGCGCTCGGAGCCGCCATGTTAGATACCCTCCTGTGTGGGACGTGGCTCCAGCTCGGGACCACCATGTTAGATACTGTCTGGGCGGCGTGGACACATGAAAACACAAGGTTCCAGCTCGGAACTACCATATCAGATACCCCCTTTTTGGGTGGCCAAGACACGTCACTGATAGCGCTATTGCCCCTTCCGCAGGACACGTCACTCATAGCGCTGGGTGGCCAGGACACGTGAAAACACGTGGCTCCAGTAAGTATGCAGGTATTAAGGTATTAGCGCATTCATGTATTATTGCATTAGGGTATTCAGGCAGTCGGGCCTTCGGGTTGTAGAGTTTTCGAATGTTGGGGTATTGGGAGATTCGGGCACTACTGCCTTAGGGTGTTAGGGTCTTACTGTATTAGGGTATTGGGCTTCGGGGACTTAGGGTATTCGGAAATTGTGTGATAGAGTCGTTGATGCACTTGTGTTTTAGGATCTCACGGCCTTCGAGTCCTAGGGTACAAAGGTATCGCTGCATTCGGGTATTAGGGTGTTCGTATGTGATGGTATTAGGGTGTCGCGTATTAAAGCTTAATGGTATTATGGCATGAGAGCATGAAGGTCTCAGGGTCTTAGGGTACGAGGGTCTTAGGGTCTTAGCGCGTTAGGGTCTCAGGGTCGTAGGATTAGGGTCTTAAGGCGCGAGGGCCTTATATGATTCTGGCCTTAGGGAATTAGGGCCCTAGGGTATTAGAGTCTTAGGGCCTCTGGCCTTTAGGGTCTTAGGGTCTCCGGGAATTTGGGCGGGCACTACGGCACTCAAGTATTAGGGTGTTAAGGAGTTCGGGTAGTAGTGTCTTAGGGCCTGCGGGTGTCAGGGCCTTCGGCCCTTGGGGCCTTCGGGCATTACGGCGTTAGGGTATTAGGGCAATTGGGTGTCAGGGTATTCCCGTATTCGGGATTTTGGGTGTTAGGGTATGAATTCATTCTGGTATCAAGGCATTTAAGCATTAGGGTCATAAGGCCTTAGGGTATTAACGCATTCGGGTATTAGGGTGCTGGCGCATTGGGGTATGAGGGTCTGAAGGTATCAGGGTCTCGGTGTCTGAGGGTATTCGGGTCTCACGGTCTTCGCTTCCTAGGGCCTTAGGGAATTAGGGCCTTAGGGTATCAAGCTTTTGGGTGTCATGTCATTAAGTTCTTAGGGTATCAGGGCCTTGAAGACCTAGGGCCTCAGGGGCTAGGGCATTCAAGCTTAAATTTTCAGGGTCCACAGGGATTAAAGCCTTAGGACGTTCGGAGGTCGTCGGGCATGAGGAACTCAGGGTCTTCGGGTCTCATGGCATTACGGCATTAGGGTACCAGTGTATCAGGGTAGGGTGTGGGGTGTTAGGGTGGTCGGGCCTTTTTCGGGTATTCGGGTCTTCGGAGGATGAGACTTTAGGGTCTGCTGGTATTAGCGTCTTAGGGTATCAGGCGGTCAGGGTGTTAGGGTATAGTAGTACCAGGGTACTAGCGCATCATGGTATTAGGGCATTGGGGCGCTAGGGTATTAGGGCCATGGGGTTTTAGGGCATGCAGGTATTACATGTTAAGGGTCTTTTGGTTTTCGGGAATTCGGATCGGAGACCACTTGGGTTTTATGGTATTAGAAAATGGACGGGTTCCGATGGCAAGGTCTCAGGGTAGTCCGCTATTCGGGTCTTAGAACCTTCGTGCCTTAGGGTCTTGGGGGATCAGGGTCTTCGAACTGTTTTAAGCATTAGAGCCATAGGGCCTTAGGGTCTTAAAGCCTGAGGGCCTTAGGGTCTCAGGGTGTGAAGGCCTCAGGGCCTTAGGGCAGCAGGGTGTTCAGATATAAGGTCATGAGGCATTCGGTGTGAAATGGCCTTAGGCTTTCGGGGCTTAGGAACTTAGGGCCTTCGGGTCTTAATAGTTTAGGGTGTTAAGCTCTTAAGGAATGAGGGCCTTAGGGGCTTAGGGTCTTTGGGTTTTAAGGCATTAGGGCCTTAGGGTCTTAGGGTGCTATGGCCTTACGGGCTCGGGACCTTTGGGTCTTACGGTATGAAGTCTCGGGGCCCTACGGTGCTAGACTCGTAGGGCCTTGGGGCACTCGGGCATTAGAGTCTCAGGGTGCTACAAGCCTCATCAAAGAATATCTAAAAATCGAAATTGAAATCCTGGAGCACGATGCTTTCGGGCATTTGTAAAAAGCGCGCACTTCAATGCTGAGAGGGTGGGGTCGGTTTTTGGACAACGCCGCGTCCGAGCCAACAGGCATTCGTCAAGATTGGACTAGCGCTGATCCCACAAACACCGAATTCGGATGTCTTTTGCTTATTGTTTTGCGAGGCGTGTATCGCATTTGGGTATTAGGGTGTTCAGGTGTAAGGAATGTATTAGGAGCTGAGGGTATTGCGGCATTAAGCTTTATGGTATTAGGGCCGTAGGGTCTTATGGTATTCGGGTCGTCTTGTATCAGGGGCTTGGCGCATTGGTGCATCAGGCGTTAGGGTTTTAGGTAATAAGGTCTTAAGGTATTGAAGTATCAGGGCATTCGGGTCTCAGGGTCCTAGGGCAGCGGGGCATTAGGGTACAACGGTATGGGGATATCAATGTACAACGGTATTACGATGTTCGAACGTCGGGGTGTTAGGGTCTTTGGGTCTCGGAGACGTAGTGTCTCAGGGTCTTAGGGTATGAGGGCCGGTGGGTCTCAGGGGCTTCGGGTGCTAGGGTCATAGGGTTTTCAGGGCACTCAGGGTATTAGGGGATTCGGGTCGAAGGGCATTAGCGTGTGAGGTCCTGGTGGCGTTTGAAGGCATGACGGTATCAGGGCATCGCTGTATTATGGCTTGATGTAAATAATGCTCCAAATCTCTCCACCCACAACCTCTTGATGCGAGAAGAAGACAGGCAGATGATAGGATACCTTATACCGAATCAAACTCAGCGTTCGAGAGGTGCGCCCACCCTCCCGCCTCAGCTGGGCGGGCCCAAGCCACAAATGGCAATGGTGAACAAGAGAGTACAAGCATGAGCGAGCGAGAGCAATAACATAGATAATTCTAAACATCATCCTATAACTCACATCCTTGCTAATATAACTTTCACACAGGAAAAGGAAACGTTGCCAAAGAATGTCTTGGCAAATTCTGCAGCAAGCCTCCAGAACATTGAATATCATTATTGGCTCGAACGGTCAAACTATCGCCCGCGCACCAAGCAGCAGCTATCAAAGAAAAATAATCCAAAAATATCTTCTTGAACGGTCAAACTACGGTCCGCGCATCAAGCAATAGATATCAAGATGTAAGAAATCAGCGCACCGAGCAACAGATACTAAGATAGAAAATCCACGCACTGAGCAACAGATAAACAAATCTTTACCTGAGGTCTGCGCACCGAGCAACATATATTAAGACATAAAATATTTAC